GAACTAATTATTAAACTACAGCTTCGTTGTACGATAACATTTGACGTTAATACTTCAGTAATTTTAACATTACGCGATTTCGCTACCCCGACAGGCGCGATTATTTGCCTCGACCATACACGAGCCCTGTTATTTTAACGTAGTTTGTTCCTGATTCAATAATAACTGTTATTTGATAGATACATTCACCTAATGTATATTGCAGCCCATTGCGCATTGCCAAACAAGTTGTATTCCCAAACACTATTATTACATACCCTATAATGCCACAATATCATTACTGCATGCTCAGGAAAACCTAAACCCCATTACAACATACCCGTAATACCCTAACCCCATTACAACATACCTGTAATACCCTAACCCCATTACAACATACCCGTAATACCCTAACCCCATTACAACATACCCGTAATACCCTAACCCCATTATTACATACCCCACAATACCCATACCCGATTACTACATACCCCTTAATGCCACAACACCGTTATTACATATCCGTAATATCCAAGCCCCATTTAACTCAAACCCATTATATTCATATCCCATAATACGTAAACCCATTATATTCACGTGCCATTATACCCCCGCCCCATTACATTCAACTTCAGCACTCAGGTTCCAACCCACGGCTGTGAGTCATGTGCGTGCCTGTCGCTCCTCCCTGCCTGCTGCTGCTGCTGCTGCTGCTGCTGCTGCTGCTGCTGCTGCTGCTGCTGCTGCTGCTGCTGCTGCTGCTGCTGCTGCTGCTGCTGCTGCTGCTGCTGCTGCTGCTGCTGCTGCTGCTGCTGCTGCTGCTGCTGCTGCTGCTGCTGCTGCTGCTGCTGCTGCTGCTGCTGCTGCTGCTGCTGCTGCTGCTGCTGCTGCTGCTGCTGCTGCTGCTGCTGCTGCTGCTGCTGCTGCTGCTGCTGCTGCTGCTGCTGCTGCTGCTGCTGCTGCTGCTGCTGCTGCTGCTGCTGCTGCTGCTGCTGCTGCTGCTGCTGCTGCTGCTGCTGCTGCTGCTGCTGCTGCTGCTGCTGCTGCTGCTGCTGCTGCTGCTGCTGCTGCTGCTGCTGCTGCTGCTGCTGCTGCTGCTGCTGCTGCTGCTGCTGCTGCTGCTGCTGCTGCTGCTGCTGCTGCTGCTGCTGCTGCTGCTGCTGCTGCTGCTGCTGCTGCTGCTGCTGCTGCTGCTGCTGCTGCTGCTGCTGCTGCTGCTGCTGCTGCTGCTGCTGCTGCTGCTGCTGCTGCTGCTGCTGCTGCTGCTGCTGCTGCTGCTGCTGCTGCTGCTGCTGCTGCTGCTGCTGCTGCTGCTGCTGCTGCTGCTGCTGCTGCTGCTGCTGCTGCTGCTGCTGCTGCTGCTGCTGCTGCTGCTGCTGCTGCTGCTGCTGCTGCTGCTGCTGCTGCTGCTGCTGCTGCTGCTGCTGCTGCTGCTGCTGCTGCTGCTGCNCTGTCTCTTATACACATCTAGATGTGTATAAGAGACAGTGACAGACCCATGGCTTGTACGATTATTATTGGTTAAGCATTTCATTCCTACCTTATGCTTGCATGGTTATTTGGTGGGAATATCATTGTGAGGGCTCAACGTTATCAAATAAGCCCCTGGTGGTTGTTTGAACTCACAGGCTTAACAGCGAAAATTGAAATAAATTTACAGATGAACATGTATGTAGAGATGAGAGAAATCGCAATTAACGTGAGAAGAAAAACCGATTAGATGGAAGCTATAGAAAGAAAAGCTAAAAACTGACTTTTGATAAGTAGACGCAGTGTAAAAAGGTATAGATGAGATGGAATTGGAGAATCGAAGAAAAAACGGCCTAATTTGGAAGACCGAAAAGGAAAAGAAGAAAGTGATGTAATGTGCTTGACGAACTAAGACTACAGCAAGTACACATCACATGCATGCACACAGCGAATCTGTAACGCACTTGTTACAGTACAAGCTAATGATCGCAAAGAAAGTCGAAAGGAAGAGAGAGAAAGTGAAGGAAGAACGTTCCGCTCCTCAGCGCGTGGGGAGAAAGCAGAACGTTTACGCGTGGGGGTGAAGTGTGTGCACTGTGCATGGGAGGGTGGGATGTGCGTGTGAGGATTGGGGTTTAAACATGGGAATAGAGTATGCGTGGGGATGGGGTTTGTCACCTCGCCCCCTCGCAGGGGGCGAGGTATGTATGTGGGTATGAGTTATGAATGATGTGTGTGTGGGGATAGGCTGTGTGCATGTGTGCGGAGTGTGTGTGTATTCTCAGCACCGTGTGTACGGGGATGAAGGGTGTATGTTGGGAGGTGTGTGCGTGAGGATGGTGTTAATGCTTGGAGACGGATGAATGTTTTTTCGCAAAGTTTGTTAGTTTATTCTATTGACCATTGATTCGTTTAAATACTTCTACACGAGAACTTCTTTGCTCTCTGAGCAAAAATAAAAAAATTTGTACAAGGCGGCATGATTTGCGTCTTTCTATTATTGTTTGGGCTCTTTTTCTAATTATGTTTGTGTTTGTTCAGGGTTTGTGTGCCTGAAAATATGTCAAAAATTTGTTGCCGCTTGTGCCTGTTTGTTTGGAGGGTTAAGGCGGCTCGAGTTTGTTTGTCGTTTGAGGCTCGTGTTTGAACTATTGGTTCGTTACAAAGCCTGTGTGGTCATTTCGAGGAATGTGTGGTATACACACCGCTGTGTTGTCCTACTAGGGTCACGTTTGCCTCTGCGTGTATCGTGCGCAGCCACGCATGTGCTGTGTAACTTATGGACTGCGTGAGTCCCTCCTTGTATACTCGTATGTATCGGCATTTCCTGTATTACATATTTTTGGTTGCATTCTACACCACACATGCTATCGACACAAGCACTCAGTACACCATCTGTACACGCAGTACACCACCTGTACACGCAGTACACCACCTGTACACGCAGTACACCACCTGTACACACAGTACACCACCTGTACACGCAGTACACCACCTGTACACGCAGTACACCACCTGTATACCAACAGGTGGTCAAGGCCGCCTGCCCTCATCCCTGCTACGCTCACATTGTTGCTATGCCGCTCCTTGCCACGTGTTAATTAACATTCTATTCGCCACTTGACTGATAATTCAAGTTACTCAAGACTTATTATTGCCGAAGCTCATCGCCAGGCGCTGCTCAACTACTGTGATCCGTGATACAGCAGCTCTGTGATCTGCTAGTCGCGCGGTCAGTGGTGGATGATGTCAAACGGGATGGCAGCCTGATTGACATCAGTCACGTGTGCCCGTGTGACATCATATCAGTGTTGCCAACGCGACTGTGTCAGTCACGGGTGCCCTAGTGTCATCATATCAGTGTTGCCAACACGATTGAGTCAGTCACGGGTGCCCGTGTGACATCATATCAGTGTTGCCAACACGACTGAGTCTGTCACTGGTGCCCGTGTGACATCATGTCAGTGTTGCCAACGCGACTGAGTCAGTCACGGGTGCCCGTATGACATCAAATCAGTGTTAACAATATATGTAACTGAGTCAGTCACGGGTGCCCGTGTGACATCAAATCAGTGTTAACAATATATGTAACTGAGTCTGCTCAACTACTGTGATCCGTGATACAGCAGCTCTGTGATATGCCAGTCACGCGGTCAGTGGTGGATGATGTCAAACGGGATGGCAGCCTGACTGACATCAGTATAGCCTGTCAGTGTGGCATCATATTTGTGTTGCCAACGCGACTGAATCAATCACGGGTGCCCGTGTGGCATCATATCAGTGTTGCCAACACGACTGAGACAGTCACGGGTGCCCGTGTGACATCAAATCAGTGTTGCCAACACGACTGACTCAGTCATGAGTGAGGGATCCTCGGCCTTGAACGACATCCCCATGCGCTCCGCTGTCGGTAAATGCTGTACTGTGATAGGGGATTGTGACGTCGTTCCTATTGTATCATCATATTCATGGTAGCCCTTCCCCCCGCGGGGGTTTCAGCCCCAGTGGGGTTCATTGTCATTGTCAACCAATAACCCCCTGTGAGCCTCCTGCCTCTGACCCATATTTTGTGTCCGTAACGCACACACTCGTCATAAATTCAAGAATATTTCATTCATTAATCGTACGCTTCTTTATTTGTAGAATCTCTGCATCTCTGAATCTCTAAAAGTTCTTTATGAGCCTTACAATTTTTTTTCCGCGTTTAAATAGAATCCTTACCTTCAACGAACCCTTGTACCTCCTCACTGACCTCAACCTGTAGTCAATAAAACTTCCCTTTGGCGAAAACTTGAAGCTCTTTTTTGTTTTGGCAGTTTCTTACCTACCGACATTTTAACCCTCCCACTGAAAATCCCCCGAACTTCTCATTTTAACCCTCCCTGATGTCATGTGCACTTGCGAATGGCATCTCTACCTTTGACGAACCCTTGAACCTATCTTTTAAACCCTGCCACCCAACAATGAACCTTTCTATTGCTCTTATACCTACAGCACCGCAGTGCAGACGCACTCACGCCACAACTATGCTCGTATCTGTGAAACTTCACGGGGCACAATGGCCTGCACATAAAAAAAATCCTTTTACGTACATTTTATATGGATATCGTCGCTTCATTTTTTAATGAATTTTTAACGTCACTTTCTCTGCTACCTGCGATTTATTGTGTCATTTTTGTCGGGTTTAGAGTGTCAACCGCAGACCAAAGCGAGGCGTGACATCATGACGAGCTGGGCGTGTGCATATTACAAGGGGGGGGCATATCTGGCATGCACCTACTTCTTGCAAGCCCATTTGTCTTCATGCGGTGTATTGATCATGAAAAAATTTTCGGTAGGACGAATTAGTGGATGTTGTGAAACAATTTTATTATATTTATCTAATTTTTGTTCCAATCTTTAATAGGATTGAGATTTCTTTTGACTGACTCTGTGTTCTCAATTTTGCCTTCAATGCACTTGTGTATTTTGCTTCCAGTTTAAGATGCGGGCAAACAATTAATGTTTAGTCATATATTTTGCAGGTTCGTGCATTAGAAAGGATTGTGAAATTTTTGCTCTGCTTATAAGTTCATAATATACCAAAAATTCAGCAATGATTCAACTGGCATTCAATGGCACGGAAGCAAATAAAAAAAATTGCTTGAAATTTTTACGGTTAGAAGTTAGTGGTCGTTCCTAATTGCACTTTAACTTTAACTTTAAACTTTATTTAAAAATCTTTCTATTCCTGCCTCAAAGCGTGGGCTGCCTCTTTGGTAGACTCAAAATTGAAAAGTGTTACTGAACTTACACTAAATTTTTGAGAAGAAAATTTATTGCCACTTATCAAGATGAACACTCGGAGTGTTTTCAAGGATAAAAATATCAAGTACAGTCCCCAGCAACAGCACATTCTGGACCTGCAGCTCCAGCACCGAAAACTCCTTGACATGTCACAACGTCGAGCCTCTTCTCCGGACGTCAACGCGACACCGATCTGCTGTCCACCCTCCATACTTCACCCACGAACAGAAGTAATGGCAGAAGCTCTATCAAATACTTCAGGTCCTACGGTCGATCTGCAGCCTTTTAGGAATCTGAATCCGTACTTGAAGCCAAAACGGTCGAATTCGCTACATAATTGCCGGAAAAACTTTTCCCGTAAGACAAAATTGCCTTCGAGGAGTAACTCCTACGACAACGAGGACCACTTCTACCACGAGATAGACTTCACCCCTCGTCCATCCAAAACATGTGGCAGCACCCGTAACATTTTTGGACAGACATCAACGAAAATAAATGTAACAACGAACAATTTTCTTCCGCAAAAAAGTAAAAAGATCCTTCCTCTGCGGAAACGTTCAAATATGACTTACCCACCTTATCCTGCTGCTCCTCAACCTGTTGTCAAGCGTCGCCTCTTCACGTCGCTTATCCTCGATACTTTCAATGGTTTTCGATGGGATGAAGACCCGTGTCTCTGGCGCCCACAGTCCCCTGGTTTAACTTGTCCCCACGACCCGAGGGGGAAAAGCGATGAGAGTTTAAATGCCGGGTCATGTTTCGTTGTTGGCCCGCCCATGAACTGTGATGACTGTAAACTTGACCAAACAACTCTTGAAAACCCCTATTCCTATGCCGGGGAGGGCATCGTCGCCCCTGCTGATGCAATTCGATCTCCTCTCGATTCCGACAGCTACATGGAATCTATCGCGTCGGAGAACATCTACGAAGAGATTCCGGATGAGTGGGAGGCTTTCAAAACAAACAACAGGAGGTCTTTGATCGAAGAGGTATTCGATGAATACGAACGGGTCAGAGCGCGTCGGATTCACTCTTCTCCAGACACGAGATTGGTCAGTAAACAGAAATCGGGGTCAATTGTTACTCTGGATTTCTCTTTCTTCGACTCGTCTGCTTCACCTGATTCTGGACTCAATTTATCCATGACTGGTACGGAACCCCCTATCTACGACGACGTGGGGCCTCCCACCGCGATGATCCGGCGAGGTTCTCATCCAGGCTTTAATGCTTCACATTTCCCGAACATATTGTCCGTTGACAGCCAGGAAAAGCCACCGATACCCAAACTCAAACGATGCGAAACTCTTGAATCTAATAATTTTCCATCTAGATTGGTAAATTTTCGACTCCGTTCCGGGTTGAAAAGTTTTCGTAAAAAATCTGCAAGTAAAGATCATGGAGGTGATCGTATTGATGGTACTGAGAAAAACAATCCAGCTCCTGCCATTGGTTTGAGGGTTGAGGGGAGTGATTCAAAAGGCGAGAGACTAGAACCTGGAAGCTCTACCGAACAAAACGTGGAGTCTGGTGACAATATCAGTGCTGTGGAAGAGAGGGAGTGGAGTGCTCGTGGTGTTGGTGATGCGAAAAGGACCAAGTTTAGTGTTGGCTGTGGCGGTGATGGTAGAATCGGAGACAAAGATAGGGAGAATGGAAGCGGTGACAGTGGCACTGAAGGTGGAATCGGTGCCACGGACAGAAGGAAGTGGAGTGCTGGTAGTGGCGGTGATGGTGGAATCGGTGCCACGGACAGTAGGAAGTGGAGTGCGGATATCAGTGGATGTATCAGCGAAACTGAGAGTTTGGACGGACTCAAAGAGATAGAGAGCTGTAAGGGCGAGGGTGTAAAGAAGGAGGGCTACCTCCGAGGACACCTGCGGTCGAGTGGTCGGGGCATCAGGAACACCTTTGACGGAGTGAGGGAGAAGATCGAGGGACAGGGCAGGAAGTTCCTCTTCAACATCAAGAAAGGTAATTAGTGCAATAATAATGATATTTCGCTATTCATGTACTGCATTAAATCCTATATAGTATTTTTTTGGTGCTTAGTGTTTTACTTTGTTAGAAGATTTGCTTACTTGAACAAGCTGAAATACCTGGCAAATTTCAAAGCAGCTCTAACCAATTTGGGCTGATGTAACACAGCGGCGTATGTTGATGACGCTAATGTTCTTCAATAATAAAGCACGAAATAAAACTAACCAGTTATTCAACCATCAGAAATAAAAAAAATCGTCCTATTTTAGCGTGCAGACAATGTCTTTCCTTGTCAATTACTGGCATTCCTGTTTGGCGCAAAAAGGGTAATCATTCCGCAGATTTCTAGAATAGTTACCCCTAATATTCAAGGGAAGAAAACTTTTAAGCTTTCACTGCGACAGTTTTCTTCGACTAAGGAGTAACTCTTATGCTTGTAGCGCCGCATGAGGCGTCAGGAGCTAGTAAAAAAACATCCCATGGTCAAAAATACGATTGCTTGTGTGCAATCAACACATGAAAATTATGGAACTGTTTTAATAGAAATTTGAGACCTAATTTTGTTCGTAAAATATCCGGCGCAATTCATTTAAATGAACTGACCATTAATTTTGAAAAGGTAAAGTATCGCTTAACTTTGCAATGATGAGAGAAATTCGACAACCCGACAACCCGACACCGGCATTGAGCTTCTTACCTTCCTTCACTCACTTTTATTTATTATCCAAAGTTTATTTGTTTGTCAAATTCCTGGCGCCGTAAACATATAAGCGCCTGAGGGTGTTATGACGAGAATAATCTGTGGACCAGAAGATTTTGTTCCCAAAATCTTAAAACTGTAATGAACAATAGTTAAATAATTACGTTAACTCAATTCTCCTCCTATATTTTTTTATTATTCGCATTTACCTCATTACTTATCAAATAAATTACTTTAACTTTAATTCTGTTCGAATATTCGTTTATTTTCCTCACTTAATCCATTAAGTATCGAATACGTAATTACTTTAACTTAATTCTGTTCCTGCATATTCCTGTATTATTCACACTTAACTCATTACTTATCAAATAACTACTTTAACTTGATTCTGTTCATGCATATTCTTGTATTATTCACACTTAACTCATTACGTATCAAAAGTTACATATTTATCAATAGAGCTCACCTCAAACGAGATCTAAAGTTTCCAAGCAATCATCAGTCCGGACAATGTACCAAATTACAAGGTGTGGCAAACAGATGCTTTCTACTGGTACGAATCACGAGGCATGGAAAGTGAGGTGAAGGGAAAATGTATTAGAAAATTTAAACATGATTTTTGCAGAGGTAAGTGTAAATTCTAGTCAAAAGTATCAAAATTCATGCATGCTCCAGCCATTTGAAGGCTGTGAGGGAGAATAGGGAAATTGACATGGGATTTTTAATTTGGTACCTATTCTATATTATATTCAAATGGCGGTATTTTCAAATCGTAGAGGTTATCAATATAGTGTGTGGACAATGCTGGATCATCATGCTGGTAATTGATGCCTTTGCAAAAATTGATATAATTAGGGCTTAGGTTCACGTATCATATTCACATATATGGTTTCTGAAAAAGCTAACAAATGGCACTGGAACGTAAGTCACGCTCCGATGAACAGATATTTCTCTTGTTGAAGCGAATTTTCTAACCATTGTTGTCAGTAAACTCCCGCTTTCGTGTACCAGATTGTGTTCTCCAAAATTTTCACCGTGTGCTACAAATTTTGTTCTCATTGTGAATTATTTTCTATTTTCTTGCTTTTCTTCCGGGTTTCTCTCTCCAACTTTCTTTGTCTTCAAAACGCCAGACAAGACAGTAGCATGACAGCGGTGGACGAGTGTGGACGTGCGTGAGCTGCTCCGCCTCCTCGTGTGTGACTAGCCGATTGCTTTCATTCTGTGCTAATTTTGCTGATGTTGTTCTGGCAATTAATGTGAAAGGAAGTCTTGTTTTGGTGAACGCTATTACTGGTGAGAGGAAATGGCGTTTCAGTTCATTAGTGAAATGGTTAGCAACTTGACATTTCTCACAGTTGCTTACCACCGGCACAAGTGTGATGCGCGGGTGGATGCACCAACTAACCTCCGTAGTCCGTACCAGGGGTAGGGGGTTAGAGAAGAATACGTACTACCGGAAACATTTTGCCTTTCAACATTCCTGAAATTGACTTTCGTGAATGATTGGGTGCCTTGAAGATTTTGCGCTTATCAGTTAAAAACCCAATTCCTGTAGGACCAGATGGAATTTTACTCCAGGAAAAAGATTAAAAGAATTAATCTCACTGCTACCGTGACACTGGTCGTTCTCTATGCTGCAACGAATGTCACGACCTCAACCCTTGCTCTGCGTAACGTTAATTTGGCTCGATCCTGTGCCGTGTTCATGTGAATTGACTGAACGTTGTTCAATGTTCTCAACTTGCATAGTCTATATGGTATAGTTGTATATTATAAAAGCAAATAGTTGCGAATATATACACACGCATCTAGCCTAAATCATGACGATCATATAGCGGTTCTCACGTCCGATCCATTCGTCTCCCTAGCGTCAATGACACAAGTCGCTACTGCAATTCAAGTCGCCACCGACCACTAGGAAGACCACGTTTTCCATAACTGAGCAGTAGCTTTCTAGTAACGTAGCGATAATTTTGTAGTTATTTCGCTTATACGAAACAAAATGTACAGCTTATCAGCGTTACCACTGCTGTCGTTTTCAGTATTTCTAAGCCACTTGGTTGCAGTTGAACAAGTGACAACTTTTGAGTCATTTTGTTATGGCGTAATTTTATACATACAATTGCATCTCCGCGAGAACAGCTTTTGAAATTTCCTCGCAATGATTATGTTTGACCTGCAGCCCGAAGTAGCTACAGCCTGCACGTCCATGCAGTAGCGTGGATTACAAATCGTGCGGTACCGCCTGCTAAGTTGCTAACCGCTCTATTATAGTCGCCTTGTGGCATTCAGCTGCCGGTCACCTCATAAGTCATGCCAGTCGTTCCTCACCATCAAGTCTGTTGTTCCTCACCAGTCACTCTACCCCTTGCTGGCAAGTCGCTTGTCGTCTCAAGCCAGCCGCCAATTCATTAGAGATAATCAGGACTAGAACTGTGTAATCGGCAAAGTTGAAAAGTTGAAAACTATCAAGTTTCGTGACTGGTTCACCATTTTACTTAGGAAAACCGGCATTCCCGTAAAAAAAGACTACGTAAATGATTTATCCTCTCATTTTACAGATGACAGATATCAGAAGGATGTGGTTACGAGAGCTTGCGTTTATGATGAAGTTAGAGTGATTTGGTCGAGGGTCGTAAGTTGATTTTATTCAATTTGCACGGGATCGACATTAGGAATTGTGATCAAATAAGAACCCCGACAGCACACCATGGTAGGCCGAGCAAGTGCATTATTGTGTGCGACAAATGATGGTAGCTTTTACATGGCGATGATTGATATGAATTAGTTTTCTGGTCTAATTTGTGAATAATGTATAGTTAATTATAGGTAGCTCGGACTTTGTCATCAGGACTATAGGTCATTACATTAAATTTAGCACTAAACTTGCTCTGTGATTCTTGAATAAGCAAAAATCAAATGAAAGATATTATATAATGAATACAATTGAGGCTATACTTGTGTGGCAGTGCAGTGATGCGTGCGGCGGGAAGTGAACCGTAGGGAAGTCATCTACTGACATTATGTTGTACTATAACTACCAGCCTATGAGTGATAGTTACACTGAGTGATTGTGGTTGATGGGTATGAGTGGTAGGCGACCATGAGGACGGTACACGAGAGCAGCGAGGAGACTCAGTCTGTGGTGCTGCTAACATGTGAGTGTCTAGGCCGCCATCTACGACTTATTCTTTGTCTTACTTTATCTGCACTTATCTTTAGTCGTTAGTCTTCATCTAACTACAATCATCTTTTGCCTTTCTTTATCTCCTCTCGTCTTCTATATTCTTTTATTTTAATATTCCTCATCATTAACCTTTCGATTGCTGCTCACAAAAACTGTTATTCTCGTTTATAATGTTTTATTTTATGCATCATTTACTTTGATTTATCTACATTTCCCCGTATCTGTTTATTGCAACACGCATTTCTCAAGCCAGTCGGTCGGACGCGCCTCATGCCGCCGCGCGTGCAAGCTTTGCTCGGGTCAAGCGGCCGGTCGACCTGTTCTCCGTCACGCGTCCGTGCGCACTGGGATGGTTACGCTGAGATGATCCCACTGAGATGGTTACGCTGAGATGATCCCACTGAGATGGTCCCACTGAGATGGTTCCTTTGAGATGATCCCACTGAGATGGTTTCTTTGAGATGATCCCACTGAGATGGTTCCTTTGAGATGATCCCACTGAGATGGTCCCCCGAAATGGTCCCACTGAGATGGTCCCCCGAAATGGTCCCGCCCAACAGGTCCCCGCAGCAATGGTCCCGCTAGTCCCGCTGCTCTACGCCACTCTCGCGTGTTGCGTACAACGCTGCTGTGTAATTGCCGTATCCTGTATGTTAACACAGCTCCGCTACACAGCCTTTGTGTTGCGCCATACAGCCTGCGTATAGCGGTATGGTGTATATGCACGCGTGGACTGTGATTAAGAATAATCTGTAAATGCTCTATGCTGCATCGTGCGTCCTGGTATGACGAAAAACGTCCTATCGCACCACGTATTGCATCCAGTCCCGTTGGTCATTGAATCGTTAGTTATTCCCTATATTTGTGAATTGATAACAATCCTGACTAAATGAAAATGAATCATAGCTTCTTCGAAAAAAATTTCACCTCTCCTGCAAGTATAAGTCATCGTCGTTAATATTGTCAATAAATATTCCGAGTACTTTACTTCTAGGGGTGAGATAGGAAGAGACGACGCATTAGCGGTCACGCTGCGGTTGGTTGTGACGACCTTGGTACGTGTTGGTAAACATGGTGACTTGGTTGTACGTACTGCGTCATGTCAGGAGGCG